TTCGTTGATTTGCTTCGTCGCACCCGTCGTGCAGCCTGGCGCTGCTGAGGCCTTGGCCTCAATGCCGTTGATGCGTGCGATGGTAGAGTTCATCAGCTGTTGCTGTTGCTGCTGCTGCATTGCTGCGTCGCGGACGCTGGCCGTTACAGCGGCCAGATCTTGCTGGTACTGCTGTCTTTGCTGTCGTTCCTCGTGCAGGTGTTCCTGCAGTAGTTTGTTGTTCCACATTACTCCCCTCATTACGTTCAACATCACGGTAGCCAGGTTACTTCTCTCTGCCTCCGCCTGTGTCGGCTCCGCCTGCGTTTCCGTAGGCACAAAGATCATGCCTTGGAGTATCGTTGTCCACTGATGCTCACTAGCAATCAGGGACTCCGTGCTGGCGGCATTCCGTCTGTTTCGTGCCGCTTCGTCAGTCTCAGCTGTCCGCTGAGCTTCGGCTGCCGCCTCATTGGCCAGCCGCTGACGTTCTGCTTCTGCCGCAGCCTGCTGAGCCTCGGCGGCGGCTACGGCGTCTGTAAATGCCTGTAGCCAGCCAAAGGCTCGCTGGCCTCTCGGACCGGGCATGCGGGAAGATCTCCGGTGGTGTCTTGTACTGTCAATGCCGTACTTGGTGCCGCTGGAGTCGTCCGTCTGCTGAATCTCTTGGGTCTTGGAGGTACCGCAGGGCGGGCACGAACTGCGATCCTGGCACTGCGCCGTGGCAGTGCCCCGGTGTCCTGTTCCATCGACATCAGTCTGAACTGATGCGGTACTTGAGAGGTGCCGGTGTTCACAGAATACAGGGGGGTAGGGAGAGTGGGAACAGGGGTAGAACAATCAAGCAATATACATACAATCCCCTGTCCCACTGATGGACTGTAGACAACTTTCCCGTAAATCACTCCAAAATTCGTAATAAGAATTTAATAACGACTTAATCAGTAAAAATAACGAAATAATAATTCTTAATGATAATAACGAATTTGAATGGTGTTATGATTAGGTCTCTTTGAGATCACTTGAGTCCGGGAGTTCACCGTTAATGAGTGAACTACCCGGAAGTTGCAAATTTCAGAAGAAAAACGCTCGAATTTTCAAAAACGTGAATTTTCGGGAATTCCCACCGTCAAAATCCGGTTTTTAAAGGTCTAACCCTATTTTCGGAATTTCTCCAACAAGGGGAACGAAAAAAAATTTCGCGAAAATTTCGGTCCCAACCCTAATTTTCCGCATATCCGCGAAATTTCCGGATTTACAGTTCCAAAACGTTCGAATTTCCCAAGTTGATAAAAAAAAACAAAGATTTCGTAACCCTTATTTCCAATACTGAAAGACAACGGAAATCCCAAAAGAAAAACGAAATATAGGATTTACAACAGAATGCCGAAAACAGAATGCTGAATGGAAATTAGAAAAGCCGAATTTCAATCATGATACTGATTCAACCCTAATTACGAATTACTAACCAGAAATCCGAATCAAACAGAATGTTGGATTAGTATCAATTTCTCGGATCTAATTAAACAGCGTACCGGGAAACGGAATGCCGAAATAACGGACTTACCTGGTGAGCAGATCCGTTATTGGTCTGCTCCGATACCAAAACTGTTGCATACTTCACTGAGTATGGGCAGAACCAAAGATCAACCAATGTAGGATGAGCATATATGCAGCGGAAGTCTGATAAACGGACTGACTCACATAGACTGACTCACATAGGCYGACTCACATAGCATCACTCCACACACATACAATCGTGAGATGGTGGGGTCTGGGCCATTCATAGACGATGCCCAGATCCCGYACACGCATTCACAGATGAAAGGTGGGAGGAGAGACGAAGGAGGTGGGGAGATCGACAACACCGATAGATAGAGTCTGATAGGTCTCCGATATGGTAGTCCAAAATGTCATACAACAGGATCAAAATRTCGAGGCCCATAGGTCACCAATGTCGGAGATACAGAGTCCAGATGTAACCGGTATCCAACTGTGATGCGGCCGAGTATCAACCTCAACAATCTCCAAGTCTCCAATCAGGAAAGTACCACAGTCTCATATCACCGAAGTCCAACTCCGATCTCCGTCCAACTAGTACAAGTCTCTAGTCTGAAGAAGAAGAAGAAGAAGAAGAAGAAGAAGAAGGAGGAGGAGGAGGAGAGAGAGAGAGAGAGAGAGAGAGAGCTGACGAGGGAGGGAGGAGAGGTCCTTCGCTCCCACGTACATCAGGCGGCAATGGCCGCCGTGCTGGCTCAGTCGCCCTGCTGCTGCTCCGCTTGCCGCTGCGCTAATGCTGTGCTGCCACTGCTGCTCCTGGCTCGCTCCTGCGCTAAACTTAGCGCATCAAAACAGCGCTCTGGCGCAGACCATAACGCACTGGTAGAGTGTCGGTGGTTCGATGCCTCCAAGTGAGGCTGTACCGGTACTTATACTGGTGGGGCAGAGGCCGGCCTCAATGCTGCGAGGCCTGGCCATGCCCTGAACCGTCCAGATGGACGGTTCAGCCCCAACCGGCGGGCGGCAGCCTCAAGAGC